GACACAAATCGTGTGTGTTGCCAATGGAGACAAGACACTGTGGTGCTTAAACAATTAAAACTAATTTAATATACTCCTCTTCATTATTAAAATTTACATAACTAATATGTACAGGCAAGCAGGTGAGCCCAGAATAAACGCAACACGCAAAGTTTTGCGTTAAACGTTTTTCCATATAGAATAAACTGTCTACAGCTCTTTTATATCATTGTCTTGTCCATTAAGCTACATTGCGTGTTTTATTTATAATGATTTTCTATGGGAGGAAAATGTTTAACGTGCAATTTAACGCATTGCGTTCTGGGCTCGTCTGCTTGCCTGTAAAGAGTTGATCCTTTTAATAACACTTAATGCATTTCATAATGCACGTTCATATTTGCTGGTCTGTATATACTTTGAGTCAACAATAAGACATATAGGCTACTGAACTGTCTTTATCATCTTAGTCCGTTATTATGCCACATTAAGTGAAAGTTTGCGCATGGTGTTCATGGCCATCTGCTTGCCTTGTAGTACATTAAATAATAACTATATATCGAATTTGATCTTTTAATTGCACTTAATAGCATCTTAATACATTAAGCCATATTAAGTGTTTATGTTTTTCTACAGGAGGAAAACGCTTAACGAGAGACTTTGCGCATTGCGTTCATATTCTGCTGTTCTGTGGCCACGGATTTGGGGGTCTTGTCTTTTTCTTGGAGGACCCTGTATGTTATAGTCCTAAATTAGTTTTAATTGTTTAATTCACCACCACTGCAACTTGTCTCCATTGGCAACACGCACGTGAAGATTGCAAGTTTCATTTTTCTTGTCTTCACCACCAGGCTACTTTTGTAAAATGTTGAGAGATTCAAACTAAAAGTAATCAATAAATAGAACAAAATAAAAATTAAAAAGAATGCAAGCGACGTCACTTGCGAAAGCACAAGTGTCTGAGAGCGCAAGTCTGCAGCCAGACCCTTCTCAAAAAAGTAACAATCTAATTACAAGAACTTAATTTTTGGAATCTGATTACGTAATCCGGATTACATGTAATCAGTTACTACCCAGCTCACGTTAGCATGTTTCTGAACTCACCCTCCTCCGCCGATCTGAAGGGAATCCGTGTTTCCTTTCACAAAGTATGAGTTTTCACCCTTCCAGCGGTAAACCTGAAAACATTGAGCGTCATTGACGACACATTGATTTTTTGTGAAGCTGCTTTGGAATGATGTGCATCGTGGAAAACGCTATACAAATAAACGTAAATTAAATTAACTAAAGGCAAACATCAAGACAAACTACAACTGTCACTTTAAAGTATTGAGGACGTTCTTGAATCAAAACAATAGATCCCTATGGAGCTATTCATACCGGTCGCGATCAATTGTGGCGCGACAAAGTAGATTTTAGACCAGTGTGTTGATATTTTTTGCTAGGGACCTTTTGATTGATTCAAGATTCAAGCTCTGGTGGGTTGCTGGTTACCACTCCATAGCTAACATTTTCTAAATGATTGCTAGGGCATTACTTAACGGTTCCTATGGCCCTCTAAGTAATTTATAGATTGTTACTAGGCAGTTGCTAAGATATTCTGGGTAGCTATCTGTCTGTTGCAAAGGTGTTCACATTGGTTGCCAGAACATTGCCAAGCAGTTGCTGATACATTCTGAGTGGTTGTTAAGACTGTGTGGTTGCCAATGTTCTCCAAGTGGTTTCTAAGGTGTTGCTAGGCAGTTGCTAAGGTGTTCTAGGTGGTTGCAAAGGTGTTCTGATTGGTTGACAGGACATTGGCAACAGTTGCTGACATATTCTGAGTGGTTGTTAAGACCGTGTGGTTGCCAATGCTCTCTAAGTGGTTTCTAAGGTGTTGCTAGGCAGTTGCTAAAGTGTTCTAGGTGGTTGCAAAGGTGTTCTGATTGGTTGACAGGACATTGGCAACAGTTGTTGACATATTCTGAGTGGTTGTTAAGACTGTGTGGTTGCCAATGTTCTCTAAGTGGTTTCTAAGTTGTTGCTAGGCAGTTGCTAAGGTGTTCTAGGTGGTTGCCTGGCGGTTGCAAAGGTGTTCTGATTGGTCGACAGGACATTGGCAACAGTTTCTAACATATTCTGAGTGGATTTTAAGACTGTATGGTTGTCAATGTTCGCTAAGTGGTTTCTAAGCTGTTGCTAGGCAGCGGTGTTCTGATTGGTTGCCATGAAATTGCCAAGCAGTTGCTAAAATGTTCTGAGTGGTTGACAAGGCGTTGCTATGTGGTCGGCAATGTTCTCTAAGTGGT